CTAAGTAATTGTTAATGGTACAGTAGAAATCACTACATTACACTGCCTTTAGGGAAGAAACAGCTCAATTTAACTGTGCAGTAAAGATTATCTTTGAATCAAGGGATATCTTTCCAATAACTGAGAGAAGGAACAAACCTCTGGAAGACAAAAAATATTAAGATATAGCAAAATCTGGCCAAAATTCAGAATGAAGTTACCTGTTAGTGACCCAGAACAAGACTCCATTCAAAATAAAATAAAATTTAAAAAAAAAACAAATAAACAAAAAAAAACTCACCAAAACCACCCCAAACTTATTCAGCTTGCTAATTTAGTACCCTTCTGCCAAAACACATCATTCCATTGGATCCCCCCTAAAAACCTTAAAGAAAGTAAATGCTGTGCTGGATTTGTAAATAACCTGCTGGAATATGGTGGGAGGGGGAAAGAAAGCCAATGCTTCGTATCCTGAAGACAATCTGATCTCCACAATGAGAAATCATGCAAGACCAATGACCAGTTCCCAAAATGTGGACATATTTCAACACAGTGTTAAAGAAAATGAGAACAGCACACAAGGGAACATTTTGAACTGCAAAAGCAGGAACTCATTCATCAGAGTTTGGGGATAATTGATGTCATTGCACAAGCCTGAAACAGTGCACATGAATCTGACTAACCATGCTCAGGAATTATTGGAACAAAACTTGAGAAGAGGGACCACAGGGACAGAGAGCTTATGACAGAGACTAAAGAAAGGCAGTTTCTGTAGTCAAGTAAACAAAGGTGGTGAAGGGGCCACTGCCTATAAATAAGTCAGGGCAGTAAACACCAGCTAAGGGCACTAAGTCAGATGGAAGACAGTTCTGGACCAGAATAAATGCATGAGAACTGACTGCGAGTGAATAAATTCAGATCAGAAATCAGGAGATGTTACCCAACCCTTAGGTCCAGCATGCCAGTGAACTGAAGAGTCAAGAGGGAAACCCACCTACTTAAAGGTGGTGATTTGTCAACTTATGACATTAAGTGGGCTTGTGACAGCAGAAGACTGACTCAGTGACCCAGGACAACTTTTTTTAAGTTGTGTGCTCCTATTAGCTGACTATTTAGTCAACCTTTCTTCCAGATGAAAATGTGACCTTTCCCACCTGTCTCCTGGACTGCTAAAGCAATGAAGACCTTTCAATTCTTTCTCCAGATGCCAAGAAAATGTTTTTAGAAAAGGAATCATAATCACAACACGCAATTTCTCACAATTTTACACTTTCTCAGTAGGGCTGCAAGGAGGACAGTTGGATCATCACATGCAATAAAATATGGTTCATTCTGACTGTGCAATAGGCAGTAGCAGAGGAGGGGCACAGAAGATCTGTGGCAGATGCTACTGTGCTCTATCCCCTGCAGCACTACAGCAGTAGAGTGATTAGGCACATTAGGTCATGAATTTCAGCTGCAAGCCATCAGTTTAGACAGGAGGGATAGTTAACATCAAGTGATTACTTTAAGTCTCTATGGATCCTGATTTCTGAACAAGAGACTACACAGCACCTTATAAGCAGGTAGCAGTAATGTTCTCTCCATGCACTTTGGGTGGAAGCACCAGCAAATGCAGACAACAAAACACCAGCAAGTCCTGCTAAGAAGCTGCAGAGAGCCAGCACTGCTATTTGGCATTGTACCAGGCAAACGTTACCCTGAACAGCTTCTGGTACATTTATCAGGACAATCAAGTTGCCTTTGGTTTCTCCACTTCACCTCAGCACTTGTCTACAGCGTTAGTCATGGCAAGACAACTTAACTATAGCAGTGTTGGGAAATAAGACACAGGCAGCAGCAACCACCATCTAAACCCCACACTGCTACACTAAACCACATTCTCTCCTTGGCCTTCACTTGGGGCAGTTGGGCAGCAATCTCTTGGGAAGGGGAGAGGTGAAACTGAAGACACGTGAGCTGTCTGCAAGAGCCCCCTCAGGCCAAAAGCACTGTAACTCTTCACAATGTTAAGAAGAAAGCTTGCTGCTTTGTGCTGCACTTTCAGAATGCCATTGACAACAGCACTGCCGTAGCAGCATGCACTGAACACAGCCAGTAGTAGTTACCAGTACTGCCCTCATTAAACTCTTCCCATTGCTATGCCACATGAACAAGCCCATCTGTTACTGCCACAGAAGAGACACCAAGGAGGAGAAATGGGCTTTTCCTTCTGTAATGTGAAAGAACTCTCATGAATAGAGCATGCTCCTTAATGAATCTCAGCCTAATGTACCATGCATTAAATCTAATATGAGCAAAGAAAGTACAAAAACTGATAGAATAATATTAAAGAGGCATACACTAAATTAACATTAATGATATCACACCAGACTACTAAATGGGAGGAGCATGGTAACTGATTCATTAAAATGTTTCTAACAGATGGTTCAAAGATACATTTTTGGGAGAACCAGCATAGCTGCTTCAAAAGATGGAGGTTAACAAACTGTTTTTTCATATGGGCCTTAAATAAGAATTTAAATTCAAAATATTGTTTCACTCAAAGACTGACGGTGAGAGGAAGCTCACTTCAAGAGGCATCTTCTAGTAATTCACACACTAATTTTCCAGTAACTAGATGTTACACTTTTCAGTTCATGTTTCCACACTAGATGTTACATTTTTCTATTATGTGCTCATGCTTTAAACCATTTTTTTCTCTTAAAAATTCACATTGAGGCTGTGTACCTATTAAGTATTAAAAACACTGTGTAAATATTGAGACAAACTACAAGTCTTAGAAGCATATTTCGTGCATACCATTTTCTGTGTAGCTGAGAAGCTACTTTCTCAATATCCCAAGTAATAACCTTCTATTTAAGCCCATCTTTTATCTAGCATACCTCAAATCAGAAGCACAGGAACTATCGTTGCCAGAATGTGTATGTATTTATAATTTTATTTCTTCTATCTGCTTCTTTAATTGTCTGGCAAAAAACATAACCCATTTTTTAGAAATGCTTACAAACTCATCTCTGTTGATAACAACAAATCTTTGTTGGTTTTGTCCTAACTATTCAGTATAACAGCAACACAACACTTTGAACTTGCACAACATGCTCCATCTCATGATCTTCTAAATAAGAAGTGGTTCTCCAAGCTTAGATGATCTCAGTGAATGCCCCTTGAAGTGTCAGTGTTATAACAAGTTATTCTATTATTTCTTGAACGGAAGTGACCCCCACGTGGCAAGCAGAGGCTGGGAAGATGAGGCAGGGAAGGCAGTGCTCTGCACTACATCCAGGAGGACATCTACTGGTTGCCGTGGGTGGCCAGGGTTACACCAAAACAGACCTGGTGTGTTCTGCACCCCAAAGCTACCACAGCAGAAACCTACACCACTGAGATGCTTCCTGGCATCACAGAATCCTAGCACAGAGCTGGGATTGGAGCTTTAGACTCTTTTCCTTAAAACGTGGGTTTATTTCCCCTTCAATTAAGTCAAGATTGAAGCTTCTTTGAGTTAAACTTTGTATCAAAATTTATATTCTCAGAGAGATGGTTTATGGCTGCCACCACACCTCCAGCCGAGTGGTTCTGCCAAACTCTATCCCCAACAAGAGAATATTAGCCTACATTAACTTTCATCCACATCCCGAACTTCATCAAATGTTGAACATTGCATTTAAATGATCTCTGACAAGCTTCCTGACTTCTCTGGACTCCCTAGGGTCCAGAAGAGCTCTACAGTAGACCTATTCCTGGGTTTTAGTCTCGAGAGGAATTCGGCAACAAACAGCCTACAGCTGAGCTCATTTTACCTTAACCCTATCATCCCCATAAGTGTGAAAATTTCAGGGCAAAAAGAAATTCAACAGAGAAATAAGCAGCCATTATCCATTCAACAAATTTTGAATTTTTTCAAGGACTTACGACTGTACTCGTATCTGTTTGATTGCACTGGATTTCAGACTAAGCCAAGAGAAACAGCATTCACAGACGCTATTGCCTTGCTACCTAGGTGTGGCAAAATCTCTATGGTGTCTGCTACATTCTTATCAATCTTTACCTACTAATAATTCATAGCACAAAAGAAGTCTTGTGCTTCTCTCTCATCCTGAGAAATGCCGGCTGCTTCTGGGCAGTGCGCATTACCCACTGGACAGAGTTACCTGTGAACCCCTTGCAGGGATGCCAGGGGAAAAAGTGGCATCTCACACTCCACAGGTTGCTCTCATTCTTTGAGCAAATCTCTCTTTGATGTCAAAATACAAAGACACAAGAAAGGGCCTTTTTCTATCTTCCTGTTACTTGCAGTTCAGTGGCAAAGTATATAAAAGCAACAAAAAGTATATAAAGCAATAAAAATTAAACAAACCTTTACATATGCCAGGTATCAAATATAAAGCTGGTGGTACAAAAGGAAAGCTCTCCTACTGCCACTTCAGGTTATAGCCACATGAACTATGACAGAATGGCAGTCACCAGCACTGATTTACCTACAAGTGTACTACCACTGACCGGGCTCGAGCACCCCACAGTGGATGTGCTCTGGAGACTAGAAGCAGCAGTTTATCAGCACAACAATGCTATTTCCCAGCAGGTTAAAAGCATAGCTGGGGTCCAGCTAGGTTAAATTTTGCAGTAGAGTAAGAAATAACAATTCAACGAGTTGTTTCCTCTTGCTGACACAGATGAACTTCAACCGGCAACTGCTGCTCACCTCTCCCCACAAGCACATCAGGAATGTAACCCACATGCACGCCTGCTCCAATGGGAGCAGGTAAAGCAAACGCTGTGTTACAGACTGAGATGACTGTGATTCTTCTAAGGAGCCACAGCTCCTGAAGGCACGAAGGTACAGCTCAACAGGAAGGCCTGAGGTTGCTCTGAGGTGTGACTGAGCAGCCTGTGCAGCAGGGCTTGATCAGGTCACCCAGAGACCAGAATGCCCTTCCCTAGGAGGGGGCAGAACCAAATGCCCATCCTGTTTCCTCCCTCCCTTTCTCAACAGAAAGGAAGCAGAACACTCTTCTTACCTGAACTCGGGCAGGAGGTTTGGCCGCAGCCCATAAAAAGCCGCTGAGAGGGTCACTAGCCAGCCAGGTTTGTAATTCCCATTCTCACACTCCAGGTATGGTGAGGACCACCTGATGTGGTTCTTATCAGCACTGAAGCTCTCCCGCCTCTTCCAACTGTTTTCCAAAGTTTTGGGGCCCGTATTTAAGACCTTCCTGTGCAGATGCGGCCTCCACTTGCGCTTCAAGCCGTGGAACCACTCTGTTTCCACAGAGGCGTTGGCCAGGCGGTGAGCCGTGGAGGACAAGTCCTGCAGGAGGACCTGGCTCCCGTGCCTGCTGGCCTGGAGGAAAACCTGGGGAGTGGAGGAGAAAGGCTCCGTGCTGAAAGTGATAGCGGCCCTGGAGATGTTGGGGTCCTCCTCCAGCAGGCTCCTGATCAAGGCGCGGTACCACTCCAGGTCCTCCTGCAAGTTCTGCTCCCGCGACTTATTGCTCTGGAGGATCATGTTGAGTAAGTTGGTGGCGTGGGTGAGGGTGCCCAGGGCACCGTGCAGGGAGGGGTGAGAGGTGAAGCGCGACTTGCCGGCGAGGCTGGCCAGCTCGTACCGCTCGGAGCAGTTGGCTCGCCGCAACTCCCGGGAGTCGCCCGTGTAGAGGAACGAGGCCACGTCCTGGGGCACCTCCTCGGCGAGCCGCTGCGCCAAGATGGTGCTCTCTGTAGAGCGGCTCCGCGGGGCCGGCAGAGGCTCCCGGCTCTTGATGTGGTTGTAAATAGGCTGCTTCCCTCCGAGCGCCCGCTCCCGGCCGCGCACTGCCTGCCCTTGGTCGGCGGCAGCCCCCAGCCCGCGCTGGGCGAGGAGCAAGAGAAGAAGGAGCCGGAGCAAAGCCATGTCCCCCGGTGCTGCCGGTCGCGCCGGCACGGCGAGGCGGCTGAAGATGGGCTTCGCGCAGGCGGCCGCGGCGCAGGGGTGCGAACGCGCAGAGGCGGCCGAGCGGCAGCGGGGCGGAACGCGACCCCCGGCCCGCGAGTCACCTGTGGCGGTGCCGCCCGCAGCCTCCCCAGCGCGGGGCTCCGCACAGCCCCACCGCCGGCGCGGAGCGGCGCGCAGCCCCTCCGGCGACAGCAGAGCCGAGCCCTCCTGCGCCTCCTCCCGCCGCGGCCACCGCGCTCACTGAGCTCCTGCCCGGCGCAGCGCGCAGGGGCGGCGGCGCCCGCGCCCGGCGCAGCGGCGGGTCCCCCCGCGGCGCCCCGCCGCCGCCCGCGCTCCGCCGCTCCGCATCCTTCGGGCGCCGCTGCCCGGAGAGGAGGGCCCGTGGCTAGGGACTGACACTTGCTGCGGGGATCGGCGGGCGGGGCCGCTGCTGGGGAGCAGTCAGCGGACAGGCACCCGCCTCCGCTCGGCTCTGCGAGAGAGAACGCCCGGCCGTGGGAGGACGGATGGTCACCGGGCGGCTCCGCCACGGGTAACCCCACACCGCGCAGCGCTCCTCGCCACCGGCCCTTATAGGTGTACGCCAGGCAGCGGCCGCCCTATGTGGCCGCCTCGCCTGTCAGTCAGCCGGCAGCCACTCACGGGGCAGGAGGACGGCGCCGTGCGGTGCCGGGGGAGGCGGTGCTGCTGCCGCGGAGAGGCGTCGAGGCACCTGGCTTCACCTGCAGCCGGCTCAGCTGGGGACGGAGGCGGGGCGGGCGCCCGTCCCGGTGGGAGCCGCTCCGCTTTCCCGGGGCTCGGGAGCCGCGGGCGGGAATCCGCGGGGGCTCCGCCGGCCCGGGGGTCTCCCGCGGCGCGTGGCAGCGACACCTGGCGGCCGGGCCTGGGGCGGCGCCGCTGCGCCTCCGCGCCGGGGGCGAGCGGCGGGACCCGCGGGAGCGGCCGCGGGGCGAGCGCAGGAGCGGGGGGTCAAGGTGCCCAAAATCCCCCCTCCGTGCCTCCTCCGCCGCTGCGGGGAGCGGGAGAAGCCCGGCGCTGCGGGGGAAGGCAGTTCCAGCCAGATCCGCAGCGTGGGCTGATGCCTGTCAGGGCTGCGTGCCCTGTGGGGAAGGCGCTCCCGCTTCCAGCATTTCCAGGGTGGGTGGAGGGGGCGCAGGCTGATCCTCGGCTGCCCCCGGGACGCGTGGGGCCAGCCGGGCTGCCCGAGAGGGAGGCGTTTGGCGAAGGGAATGACGTTTGTGTGGGAATGGGCCGGATCTTCGGGATCTCCGGGCCGCCTCGCCTGCCCCGGGCACGCAGAGCATCCCGCCGGAACGGGCGCTGAGCCGCCTTCCCTCTCCCTGCAGCTACGGTGGCTGGCTGGCTGTATTTCTGTAACCATGATCTTTTTCTCCCCTTAGTGTTTTAACTCCAAGGTGCTAATTCCTACAGCTGTTTTCAGAACTAAATCCTTAATCCAGTGGCTTTTAACACTGACCTTCAGAGCACCTGTGTGGAGCCGAAGCAGCACAGGTTGATCGCTCAGCTTTCCTCCTGCTCTGTGGAAACCCCCTTGGAATAATACAAGTGCTTATCTGGATTTTCCAGATAAGCCATCATGATTAGTAATGAGGATCTGGTTTAGTAAAACATTTCAACACGTGTTTAACTTTGTACATTTTCTTATGCAGAATTATGCACCTGCTCAATATCTTACTAATGGATGAGGGATTTGTGACAGGAGACAGCAAAGGGTGAGTTTTGGAGGAGGTGGTCCATGGCAAAATCTCCTAACTACATTCCATTCCCATTTAATATAAAATTCCATTTTGGAATTCAAAAGTGCAGATGAAAAGAGAACCTTTTTTTTTCTTTTCTTTTCTCCCCCCCACACATGTGCATGTACATCCTAGGAGCAGATTTCAGTTATGCAGAATATATGATGTAATTTTAAACCACTGACAAGTTATATCTGCTTCTTAAAGCATAATCTTATTTTAGAATTATTTGAAATGACACTTGATGGCATAGTCACTCCAAGATAGCTAAATGTGAATTACATTTGCAGTCCATATATCCTAGTGATGCTGTGCACTTTGTCTTTACCTGTGGAAACCTTTAATAATTATAATATTGTTGGTTAAGAGAGAAAGTTAGAAATTCTTTTTGTCTCTTGCTGCATGCAGTTGAAGAGGATATTCAACACGTAAGAACAATGTACTTGTACTGAACTTCCCCTCAAGTGAATAGTTTGTGAGATTTAGAAACTGCTTATACTGAGAAGCTCAGAAGCTGGTGCTTACAGTTTAGCACAGCACAGGGAGCCTGTATTTCCAAGTCTGCTGTGAGCAAATACCTAAAGATCCATCATTTGCTGTGGATAAGAGAGAACTAGGGCTTTTGACAGCAGCAGTTCTCAGGACTGAGCTAAACTAACGTAGGATCTGTTACACGGAGAGATATCACTGGCAGCATAAATAACACATTTTTTAATGTTGTGCCTGGGCTAATTCTCTTTATTGACAGACAAGGGCTGCTGTAAAGGAAAGGTTAGTTCCCTGTTGAAAATTCACTTTCCCTACTTTAGCCTGACTATTAATACCTGTCAGAATTGCACTAGGCCTGCTCAATGGCCACATTCACACATTCTCAGGATAATCAACTATCCCCTCAATGCACTTGCATGGTAAGTCCCTTGTGTTTCCTGATCACCTCATGGTCCTTCCACATACCTTTCTAGAGTGGCACCCACCAATCCCCCTGCCCCTTGTCCTTCACTAACATCCCAGAGGCTGCAGTTCTCAACCCAAAGCTATGCCAGGAGCAAAGTCCCAAAAGGGTTAGTGCACATCTCCCAGATACTGGAGGTCTCCCTTAATCTCAAGCATTAGAAGCCTCTCTTTTTCCTGTCCTATCAGTCTGCTCTGGGTGTTTGGTCTCTATGCTGGCATTTCTGAGTCAGAGGGAGAAGATGAGGGGTTTCTTGAGGACTTTCTCATTCAAGGTGCCAGGAGCATGGCTGAGTCTTGCACAGTTGCGTCACACAGGGTTCAAAGAGGTCTCCTTTATCCTTAGGGCTTCCTTCTGCAATCAGTTCAGAGCTGATCCCAAACACCTACTATGTACAGCCAGGTCCAAAATGAGGCACAAACTGATTTTAAGCCATTGCAAATGTGCATCTTCTTACAGCTTTGTAAACGCTATGCCATGGGACCCAGATCCATGGGAATTGGCAATATGGAAATATAGTATCCTCCTAGATTAAGTAAATCTACCAAATATTTTATTTACATAAGTTAACTAAGTGTAGCAGCAGCTCTCTCTGACCACAGAGATCAGGCACAGATTTTCCCAGGCATTTTCCCGGGGAAGGCTGTGAGAAGATCAGAACAAAAAATAAGAAACCATTCTTATCTCACTTACTGCTGCTCATAGTTGTGCACATGTAGAATATATTATAGAGATTTGTTTACCAAAAAGTGATTTCTTAATTAGACACTAGATAGTGTTTAGATTAATTGACCGATTAGGTCAAAGCTGGATCAGACTGGCTGTAAAAGTTATTGAGTTTCTTAATAAGTATAGTATAATATAGTATAAAATTATATACTAAAACAATCAGGAGCCAATGTTAATTATTACTCAGCTAGGGGCCTACCGCAACAACTAAGGACTCTAGAAACATGTGATCATTGTTTTTTTTTATTTTAATATTAAAATGCATTAATATTTCTGGACTGTTATGTGTAATCAGTTGAGTATGTCAGAAATCTGTTCAGCTGTGACCAAAACAATGTGAAAATGGACTGGGAGTCCCCTGAGACACAAGATTACTCTGACTAAATGTTTCCTATGCTTCTGCCTCAATTCTATCGGAAGTGCTGCATCAAGCCATCCACTGCAAGGAATGAGGAGGCATCTGACCACTGTCCTGCATATTTCTGTTTTTACAAGTCTTGCAATTGCTTCACTCAATGTACATGAAACATCTCAATTCACTGTATTGCCTATCAGAACTGAAGTCAGCTCTACATTAATCTAATTACAGTGTAGAAAGAACAGTAGTGCAAAATATTAGATGTTATTAAAAAACTAGAGTAAGTGTAGCTTACTTTCTTCAAATATGGCCTATGCAAAAAGATCATGGTTTATCTGAACTATTTGAAATGCTAAAAGCATCACAATTACTGCACTGGGAGCAAGGAAAGACTGTTTTAGTTGTGAAATATATTTAAAGACTCATTTATTAGTCTTTGTCCTAAACTATTTAGGAGATATACAGAGAATACACACAAGAGTAAGTATCAAAACTTTTAAAATTGTGTTGTATTTCTCTCACAAAACAGAGACAACATGTTTATAAAAATTGCTGCTTCAGGTAATTAAAAATACATGAAAAGTAAAGTATTCTTAAAAGTACTCCTACTTTTAGCTTGAGTACTTAGACAAATAACATTCTAGCAGCAATATTTTTTGTCTGTCTGCCAGTGACTTCTGATACCTTTAATTAATTTTAGGTAAGTTTCACAGATATCTACAAGCTTCTACAAATGTTATGAAACTCACAGCTGGATCAAAGAAAGCAACCCATGTTCATTTTCATGAACCAGGTGTGGGGTGAGGGGACCACAATATACTCCAAGTCTTCTTTACTTTGTTTCTTTGCCTTCTTATCACAGCACAATCACCATAAACTAGTATCTGTCTACAAAAGACCACTTTGCCTTACTCCTTTATTTCTTTGGCTGGGCTAAGTTAATCAAATTTCATAACAGGCTATGTTTTGCTTTCCAAAATTGTTGTTGGCCTACTGTTCTTTTCTTAACTATCCATTCTGTTAGCCTGCTTCTCTAGGCATCCCAGACAAGGCCTCCCATTATCAAGCATAACCTCCAGAACAAGTAAAATTCTCTGTTAATACACCCCATGTTGAGGTCTGCCTGCTTTTTCACCTTCATCACAGTATTGACCACTACTCAAGTCTGTAATGATGAGTAATCCTCATAACCTTTCAAAACATATTGCTTCCCAGTTACCTATTATCTATTTTTATTTGAGGATTTGAGCTCTGCTACCTCTGGGTAGTTTTTTTTTTTTTGTACTTGTATTTGCTGAATTTTACTAAAGTGATTTTAGGCAACCTCTGATTTTTCCAAATTATATTTAGTTCCTATTCCATTTTTCAAAATGCTTATAACTATCTCCTTTTTTCTTGTAGTGATTTGCTAATGATTTGACTTTTTATTTCCTTAGCCAATCTCTTCATTAACGTATTTAATATAATGTGTCTGAGATCAGAACCTTTCAGGAACCTAGCAGAAACATCTTCCTAGTTTGATGGTACACAGCTGATAC